CCCCACATAGACAAGAATCCCAGGAGACGTACCCTCATGGCCTTGAAAGCATATCCACTCCCTTGCCACCACTGCCCGTAACATCAGAGCCACCTCCATCACCTCTTGCAACCTCCCCCCCCAAAAAAACCCAAGTTCATGCAAGGCCGTAAGACTATGGCACTATGCGTATGTAACCCAGGTTCATAGCCAAGTTCGTCTAAGTCAGTTCGACTAATGTGCAAATTGACGTGTGTCAGTCCATCTCTGCGTGTGAGTCTGTGTCTGTATGCGCGTGAGTCGGCTTGTGCAGTAAAATTTTACCATGCCAAAATTCAGAGCGATGTTTAGTAAAATTTCCATGTTGTATTTTGAAATTTGCAAGGGCTCAAACCTCCCACCTTTGTGTACTTGAGCAGACGATGCATACACATCCGTCGTCTTTGAGCACCCTTGAACCTTACATATTTCATCTGCTCTCTTCTTGTGATGCTCCTTCATGTGTTCTAGGCAAATCTGCATGGGAAGCGCGTGAGCACGTTTGTGTTCCTCCCTGTGCAAGTCGGTGTGTGTGCGCGAGTTCACATGCGTTTTTATTTTTAAACGATCACCTTGGCAACCGCTTGTCCTACCGGATGCATAGATTACAGGAGGTAGCATAATTGGAACAATCTTACTCTGTGTGCGTTGTTGTCATATCCGCTATACACAACTCCACAAAAAGAAGAGCATGACTGTGCCAGAACTGTTTCGTTCGTCGGACTTTCACCGACTCGTCAGCACAACGTGTGTTTTGAATTTTCACCACAACAGCCCCTATTCCACCTGCCGGATGAGCAGATCCAAAATCAAAGCATATTCAATCCTATTACAGACATGGGGATTCATCTTTTGTTTTCGAACTCGCAACGAAGTTGCCGCGATTCGTTGATGTGTGTGGGCATGTGTCCATCTGTGCGCGTATTTGTGCAAGCATGTGTGTGCGGACTGCGCAAGTTCATGTGCGTACCACGCGCCCGGGGGGGGGGGGGGGGGGGGGGGGGGACGGTGAGGGGGCAGTTTCTAGTGAAAGCTGAGAGTGAGGAGGAAAATATATGACTTTCAAACTTTCGAAGACATGCCAATGATAAATCTGAGTCCATATTCAAGAACCTTGCAGACAAGCTTGAGTGGGAAACCCTAAACCCTAAACGCAAAACAGATGAAAGAAAACATGCACAGACCCAGAGTCGTCGTTTTTTTTTCCTCCTGGGTCATCGTTACAAATGGCAAAGCGCGGAGGCTTACAACTCTTTTTTTTTTTTTTTTTTTTTTTTTGTTTTCGTTTTTTGGGAAGGCTGACACTTTAGTAGCAAGTACTTGCAACTGCTTACCGAATGGTCGGCCATTTTCTCAAGTGCCTCGACAGCACCTTTCATGTCGTTCTTAACCCAGAATGTGCGCACAACCTGCCAGCACCGGCAAACACGCATGCTGCACGGGTTACTACGGTGGTTAACAGTAATATATGCACAACCTGCCAGCAAATCCAAACATGTAGGCTCCACAGGTTCACCAGCGTTGTTAACAGTACGCACAGCTTGCCAGTGTGTGCAAACACGCACATCACAGCTGTTCATGAGGGTTACGTACAATTACATATGTGACAGAATCTACGTTGTTTGTCACTTCCCCTGACACTCGTCACTCCCCTTGCACATGCACCATAAACGCACCATTGGTATGGACCCCATCATGTGGCCGGTGTGGGTCACGCATGTAAAACCCAAATGCCCAAGCACACCACCGCTCAGCCTCACTTCTTCTGGCCAAGGATGTGATGTTATTATCCTGGCACTATCTCTTCTTCTTCCTCTGCTCTTCCTCCTCCTCCTCCTCCTCCTCCTCCCCCTCCACTTCCTCCTCTAGCTGCTTCCAGAATGTAAGCCATCACTGCTGTCACTGCCATGACCACCCTCGTCACCACTCTTTAAAGTAGATCTCAACTCTCACAGGCAGGGATGCTATGTCCCAAACCTGCCACTCCCTATTCATCTTCCTCTTCTCCTCTCCTTCTTCCTCTTCTTCTCCTCCTCCTCCTCCTCCTCCTCCTCCTCCTCCTCCTGCTGCTGCTACTCTTCCAGCAGCTTCCTCTCTTCTTCTTCTCCTCCTCCCAGCTGCTTCATCTTCCTCTCCTCCTCCTCCTCCTCCTCCTCCTCCTCCTCCAAGCCTTCACTGTCGTCTCACCGGCATGCCAGTGGTATTGGAGTCCTCGCCAAACTGTGCAGGCTGCCAGTTGGCAGCGCGCCTGCCTACCACTCGAAGCAGGAATATACTCGTGACAATGGGTCCCCAAATCCATCACCATGTGACCACCGGGAGGAGGAGCTTACAAATTGAAGAACGCAGCACCTTGTTATCAGACTTATTGCCACCATTGTTGTTATTTCAGCTTCGAAACTCAGCATAGTAATCATCATCAACACTCCTTTTTTTAAGTTTTTTACATCCCTCCTCACCATCAGCATTAAGGCAACAAAGGGCTAGCAAAGTGGGGAAAAAAGTGCAAAAAAGTGCAAAAAACATACATCGTTGTCACATGAACTTCCATCACCATTGTGGCATTGTCTCTATTTAGCCTCCACAGTTCAGCATAACAAGTTAATAACCGTTGTCAACAACCCAAAAAGCTTCAACATCTGCTCGATATCACTAAGAACCTCGATCCCATCATAATTATCACCATTCTCCTCTTACTCATTGTTCAGAACATTTGCTCAACATCAAGAATCTTGATCCCATCATGATTACCGCAATTCTCCTCTTTCTCCTCTTTCTCCTCTTTCTCCTCCTCCTTCTCCTCCTCCTTCTCCTCCTCCTCCTCCTCCTCCTCTTCATCATCATCGTCACCATCAGGCACAATCTGTTCCACTGCTAGGCTTCCTTTCCGGGCGCCCAGGTACTCAACTTGTGCCCGGACCCAGGTGCCAGGCTGGGTATGACCCCCGGGCAGGGATCCAGGCAGGCCCAACGCCAAAAAAAAGAAAAAAAGAAAAAAGCAGTCCGGGAAAAAAAATGTTGTGTAGAATTGCAATACAAAGTATTACAAACGACTTTTGGCGGAGGGTCACATCAAAATTCCTCACAGAACCGGAGATAAAAAAGAAAATAACAGAATCACACTAAGGCACCCCCCTTAAAACGAATTTATACCCCTCTTCCCCCCTCGTTTGACAGGCAACTCTCAAGAAAAAAGAAAAGTGAGCGGATTCGGAGTCCTTTGGGAGAACGCAGAAACCTTTTTTGTTTTTTTCATCCCTGGGTACCCCTGGCGTCACACCAGGGTGCCCGGCTGGGCAGGCCTGACCAGGTGTGACAATCTTCCTAGTTCCATTGTCAATGGGCACGCGACAGTCGTGACCACATTTGATACGATGAAGGAAACTGTGACACCACCAGATTGATGAACATGACCTGGAACCTAGGAGGCACCTTTTTTTTTTTTTTTTTTTCAACGGCCACATTTTCTCCTTTTTTTTCTTTTTTTTTTGCAGGCCACAATTTCTCTCTTTTAAATAGAAAAACAAATGAAGGTTGGCAGGCATGCAAAAGACTTACCAGGAAAAAAAAAAAAGAAAAAAAAAAGGATTTACCAGCAATTCCAATAGTGGCAAAATGAAGGTCACAAAAACCCAGAGAATTGGGGATCAAGGCCAGAGGGCCACATTTTATTCTATCTTTAAAATAGACAAAGTCATCAAGGTCGAACCGTGTTTCGAGGCACAGTGCAGGCACACCCAATGCCAAACCCAACACGCTGCACTGCTCTAACCAATGTAGACCTGGTTAAGCAGCAGTCCAGATATGCTCAGTTGTTTACCCAACAGATCGAAAAGCGCAGATCCAACAGACGGCCACAGCAGAAAGATGATGGGACATAATAGCTAGCTATGCGTAGAAGATGTGCTGCTCAGGCACCAGATGCTCCGAGTCCAAGTCCCTGCATCTATACGTCTTATGTATCCAGTACTATCCACTGATTCCACTCTGCATTTGGCGGCTGAGCGTTAATCGGAGAGACGGAGGTATTGGTAGAAGATGTGCTGCTCAGCCACCAGATGCACCTAGTCTAATTCGCTGCATCTATACGCCTTCCGTATCCACTGATTTCACTCTTGTGTAAAAGGCAGTAAGGTAGGAATTCCTCCAAATAGAGCACAGGGACAACTCATGCACCTAGGTAGTCCAAGTCTCTGCATCTATACATCCTATATATTCACTGATTCCACTCTGCATCTGGTGGCTCAGCATTATTCGGAAAGACGGAGGTATGGGTAGAAGATGTGCTGCTCATCCAACAGATGCACCTCGTCCAATTCTCTGCACCTATACGTCTTCTGCACCCACTGATTCTACTCTGATGTAAAAGGCACCGAGGTGGGAAGTTCCCCAAATAGAGCACAGGGGCAACTGCAAAACAGCGGTAGCTGTGGTTGAAAACTTGAAAAACAAAGCAAAAACAAAACAAAAACAAAACAAAAACAAAACAAAAAACATGAAGATGCAATTACCCTCCCCCCCCCCCCCCCCCCCCCAAGAAAAAAAAACAAAAAAACAAAACAAAGAATGTGCACGCAACTTGACGCAAGACTGTGCATGGATACATGCAGATCCTGAGATAGGAATCAGGGAGCAAGGGACATAGAGATAGGCAAAATAAAGGCACGAGGGACAAG